AATTAACAGCATGCTGGCATCACCCACCCAACCAATAATAGTGTGCTTCACTTGACAACCAAGCACATTGTTCTCGACACTGGGGAATCTTTCCTGGGACCTGAAGAGTATTTTATTTCCTATTACAGGCAATGATGAGTCTCTGTAAGTATTTTTTTAAAATATGTTTTTATTGAGTTTTAGAGAGGAAGGGAGAGAGAGATGGAAATATCAGTGTGAGAGAGAAACAGCAATCGACCGCCTCCTGCACGCTCCCCACCAGGCATGTGCCCTGACCAGGAATCAAACCGAGACCTCTCAGTCCACGGGACAGTGCTCAATCCACTGAGCCACACCAGCCGCGCTCTCTGTAAGTACTGAAGTTATCTTATCCCTTGAGGTCCAGATAAAAGGGTTTCGGGAGAGCCTCCATACACTTGTCAATGAAATAAGGATTTCCCACACTGGATGGAGAAAATACTTTGAGTTCAACCAGAGAAACAGAACCAGTAGAACAGCGGTTCTCAACCTTCCTAATGCCGCGACCTTTAATACAGTCCCTCGTGGTGTGGTGACCCCAACCATAAAATTATTTTTGTTGCTACTTCATAACTGTAGTTTTGCTACTGTTATGTCTTAGGCGACCCCTGTGAAAGTGTTGTTTGACCCCCAAAGGGGTCACGACCCACAGGTTGAGAACCACTGGAGTAAAAGATCTGTATTAAGAGATTTACTGTAGGAATCTTCTTACATCATATACAAGAATAAAGTCAAAATGGATTAAAGACATAAATTAAGATTCAAAACATAAAACTCCTAGAAGAAAACATAGGTAGTAAAATCTCAGACATTTCTCTTAGCAATATTTTCTCTGATGTATCTCTTCAGGCAAGGGAAACAAAAGAAAAAAATAAATGGGACTACATCAAACTAAAAAGGTTTTTTTTATCCTCACCTGAGGACATTTTTCCATTTTTTGTTCAGATAGAGTGGGAGAGAGAGAGACAGCGGAAGAGAGAGAGAGAGAGAGAAACATCGACGTGAAAGGGACACATCGAGTGGCTGCCACCCGCACGACCAACCAGGGCCAGGGACAAACTGCGACCGAGGTACATGCCCTTAGCGGGAACCGAATCCGGGTCTCTCTGTACCGCAGGCCGACGCTCCAACTGTTGAGCCAAACCGGCCAGGGCAAACTAAAAAGGTTTTGTACAGCAAAGAAAACTGTCAACAAAATGAAAAGACAACCTACTGAATGGGAGAACGTAATCACCAATAATACATCCAATAAGGGGTTAATATCTAAAGTTTATAAACAACTCATACTACTCAACACCGAAAACACAAACAATCCAATTTAAAAATAGGCAGAGGGCCTGAATAGACATTTCTTCAAAAAGGACATACAGATGGCCAATAGACATATGAAAAGATGTTCAGTGTCACCAATTGTCAAAGAAATGCAAATTAAAACCACAGTGAGACATCTCAGAAGGACTGAAAGATGGTAGAGGAGTATGGGAATCTACACTCACCTCCTCCCAGGGCCAAACTGGAATTACAACTAAAATATGGAGTCCTGGCCAATCTTGCTCAGTGGTTAGAGCATCAGCCCATGGACCAGAGAGACGGGGATCAGTTCCCGCTAAGGGCATGTACCTCAGTTGCAGTTTGTCCCCGGCCCCAGTTGGGGTCATGTGGGTGGCAGCCAGTCGATGTGTCTCTCTCACATTGATATTTCTCTCTCTCTCCCTCCTGCTCTATCTGAAAAAAAAAAAGTAAAAATATCCTCGGGTGAGGATAAAAAGATAAATAAATAAGATATGGAGCAGTCAACCTGAATAACCAACTGAAGACTTGCTGAACAGAAGTCTTGTGACCAAGGACAGAAGTCACATCGAGACTGGCAGGAAGTGTGGAGACAAGAGAAGGGCTGGCTGTGCTCCCGCGGCAGCGGCTGAGATTCCAGAGGGATATCTTTTTTTTTTTTAAAGTTATACTTTTTTATTAATTTATTTTATTTATTTATTTATTTTTTATCATCCTCACCCGAGGACATTTTTCCATTTTTTGTTCAGGTAGAGTGGGAGGGAGAGAGAGGAAGAGAGAGAGAGAGAAACATCGAAGTGAAAGGGACACATCGAGTGGCTGCCACCCGCACAACCAACCAGGGCCGGGGACAAACTGCAACCAAGGTACATGCCCTTAGCGGGAACTGAACCCGGGTCTCTCCGGACCGCAGGCCGATGCTCTAACCGCTGAGCCAAACCGGCCAGGGCTATTAATTTATTTTTGTTTCTCCTTTCCCCCTACTGATTCCCCCCTCCCTCTCCCTCCCGGCCCTGTCCCCAGCTTTGTTGACCATGTCCACTGTTCATGCACACATGCATATAAGTTCTGTGGTTTCTCTCTCCCCCACCACCCCCTCTTCTGGGGATTGTCAGTCTGTACCCCACTTCCACATCTCTGGGACTACCCCGTTCCTCAGATTGTTATGTTCACTATATTCCACAAATAAGTGAGATCATGTGATACTTGACTTTCTCTGTTTGGCTTGTTTCACTTAGGTTGACACTTTCCAGGTCCCTCCATGTCGTCTCAAAGGATAAGAGATCTTTCTTTCAGCTGCATAGTACTCCATTGTGTATATGTACCCCAGCTTTTTTATCCATTCGCCCAGAGGGATATCTTAGCTGCAAAGGATCCCCTGAGAAGCACAGGGTGTCAAACTCAAGTTGGGCTCGCCAGCCCAGAGGACCAGGGCTGGGAAGAGGCACCCACATAACACCTGGCTGGGAAAATCAGTGACGATTCTGATGCCAGGGAGAGAGATGACTGCTAGAGACACAAGCACATTCTTAAAGGGCCAACACACAAAATTTCATCTGCAGCTACTCACCCTGGGCTCCCGTGGAGGGAGAGTTGAGGGGGCCAGAGCTGTGCGAGGAGAGACTGGGGTTTATGGCTCTGGGGAGAAAGCCGAGGGGACAATGGCTGGGACCCCTGTGCGGAGTCACACTACCACACCGCAGGTGCCATCTCCCTTGGATGGAGCACGCACCTACGTACAGCATCAGCCTAGGGAAATGCAGTAACCTAGCCCTCTGGGCTCCCTGTCCACCCACCCCATGGAGCTCGTGTCCTGCTGAGAAATAAGCTGTCTGGGCCAGGGTGTACAGGTCTGGGCAGACTCAGGGGTGTCAGTGACTAAGCTGTGTGGCTTCGGAGTGGCGGCCATTCCCTGCCACTTTCCCATGAACCTGACTGGTACCTCCCCTCACAAGAGATCCCCTAGGCCCACTCTCCAGGCTCCTGGTGCCCCACCCTTTTGGCTCTTGGTGGCTCCACCCTGCTTAGGTCTGGGCAGAATCCAGGACAGACTGAGTTGTGTGGCACTGAGGTAGGGGCCACACCCCCAAGTTCCCCCAAGCCTGAGGGGCGCCACCCCCTCTCCCTACTCCCAGTGGCCCCGCCCTGCTGAGATGGCTCCTGGTAGAATCTGGGACAGACTGAGCTGTGGCTCTAGGATAGGGGACATTTTTCTCTCCCGTACCCTATCAGCGCTGAGACTTCCCTTCACACAGGCCAAATCTTGGTGTGTTCGGGCCTGATAAACTCTGCCGGCCTCCCCGTGACGACACCCTGAGACTCCACCCCACCACAAAGGTGTGCCAGCACCCTGAGGGTGGCAGCTAGACTTGGTACACCCTGGGACATTTGCTGAGTGCCTCAGACCCAGCACTGGCACTGAGTCTGAACCTGTATAGATGTGGTGAACACCATGTGCCCCTAACTGGTGACTCACTGAGAACCTATCACATGCAACCCGAGCACTGCCAGGGGCTCTTTCAGTGGCCGACACTAACAGAGAGCCAGCAGGCAGAGGCGGACCGCAGCCCTCCCAGGGACTTGTGCTGACCTGCCTCCAAGCCTGGTGCTGATAAAAGCCACCCTTGGTGCACAGCTCGAGGCTTCCCCCCCACACCCAGGCCCCGCAGAAGCAGCCACGAACTGTGGATCACTTTGTAGCTCCAAACAAGTGTGCAGGGCCAGTCACAGGCAGCATCTGACACTGTCCTGAGCCTCAGTCCCTCCCAAGAGGGCCAAAAACCAGCATACCCAGCGGACAGCTTCAGACTCCAAATCAGGATCCAATTACCTTCCCAAGTGGCATATCCAAAGGGAGATATCCGCATGCACGGAACCTGTCCAGGCGAATTCTGCTCTGTGTGGTCAGCACCTGCATGGCAGTTCATATACTGTAGTGGGGGTTGACCCTCACGGTCAGCCAGCCTGAGGGTCGACCATATACACAAATGGGCCAATAGCAATCAAGACTCAATTATAATAGGAGGGCCCAGATAAACCACACGAGGGACATTCCAAGAGTACCTAATGCAGGTGATCAAGGAGACTGTGCCATGGGGTCCCACAGGACACCTATTACGTAAGGCTACCCCACCAAGACTGGGATCATAGCAGACCTACCTAATACATAGTACTAAACACAAAGAGGCAGCTAAAATGGAGAGACAAAGAAACATGCCCCAAATGAAGGAACAGGAGGAATCTCCACAAACAGAGCTAAATGAAATGGAGTCAAGCAATTTACCAGATATCTAGTTCAAAACAATTGTTATAAGGATGCTCAAGGAACTTAGGGGAAGATGGATGAAGTCAGTGAGAACTTGAACATGAAAAAATAGAAGCCATAAAAAAGAACCAGTCAAAAATGAAGAATATGCCCTGGCTGGTTTGGCTCAGCGATTAGAGTGTCGGCCTGCGGTCCAGAGAGACCTGGGTTTGGTTCCCACTAAGGACACGTACCTTGGTTGCAGTTTGTCCCCAGCCCTGGTTGGGTCATGCAGGTGGCAACCACTCCATGTGTCCCTTTCACATTGATGTTTCTCTCTCTCTCTCTCTCTCTCTGTCTCTCTCTTCCTCTCTCTCCCTCCCACTCTATCTGAACAAAAAACAAAAAAATGTCCTCGGGTAAGATTAAAAAAAAATGAAGAATACATGTGCTCATTTTGGCAGCACATATACTAAAATTGGAATGATGCGGACAAGATTAGCATGGCCCTTGCACTAGGATGACACACAAATTCGTGAAAAATTCCATATTTTTAAAAAATGAAGAATGCAACCTGACCAGTGTGGCTCAGTGGTTGAGTGTCGACTCATGCACCAAGAGGTTGCCGGTTTGATTCCTGCTCAGGGCACATGGCCAGGTTGTGGGCCTGATCCCCAGTGGGGGGCATGCAGGAAGTGGCCAATCAATGTTCTCTCTCATCGATATTTCTATCTCTCTCTCCTCCCATCCTCTGTCTCTAAAATCAATAAAGGAAAAAACATTTTTTATATAAATAAAAATGAAGAATATAATACCTGAAATGAAGAATACACTGCTAGGAAAAAAACCCAGTACACTGGATGAAGCAGAGGTTCGATTCAGCAATTTGGAAGACAAAGTACAAGAAAATACCCAATCAGAGCAGAAAAAAAAAAATGAGGATACTTTACGGGACCTTTGGGATAACATAAACCATAACAACATCTGCATCATAGGGGTACCAGAAGAAGAGTAGAGAGAAAAATGAATAGAGAACCTATATGAAGAAATGATGACTGAAAACATCCCTAACCTGGTGAAGGAAAAAGACACAAAAGTCCAGAAAGCACAGAGTCCCAAACAGGATGAACTCAAAGAGGCCACTACCAAGACACATCTTAATTAAAATGTCAAAGGTTAGCCCTGGCCAGTTTGGCTCAGCGGTTAGAGCATTGGCCTGCAGACCAGAGAGTCCTGGGTTCAGTTCCTGCTAAGGGCACATACCTTGGTTGCAGTTTGTCCCCGGCCCTGGTTGGGGTCATATGAGTAGCAACCACTCGATGTGTCTCTCTCACATCAATGTTTCTCTCTTTCTCTTCCTCCCTATCTCCTTCCCGCTCTATCTGAAGATAAATGCATAAAAGATGTCCTTGGGTGAGGATAAAAAATAAATAAAATAAAATAAAATAAAATAAAATAAAATAAAATAAAATAAAATGGCAAAGGTTAAAGACAAAGAGAGAAGCTTAAAAGCAGCAAGAGAAATACAGTTAGGTGTAATGAAAAGCAAGGACCTACAACCAAGACTACGTTACCCAGCAAGGCTATTCTTTAAAATTGACGGAGAAATAAAGGGCTTCCCAGACAAAAAAACCAAAGGAGTTTGTTATCACCAAACTTACATTACAAGAAATTAAAGGGCCTGCTAGAAGAAAGAAGAGGAAGAAGGAGGAGGAAGGAGGAGGAGGAGGAAAAGGAACATAGTTAAAAGAATAAAATGGCAATAAATACTTACCTATCAATAATCATTTTAAATGTGAATGGCTTACATGATCCAATCAAAAGACATAGGGGGAGCTCAATGGATAAGAAAGCAAGACCCATATATATGCTGTCTATATGCTATTAGAACAAAAGATACACAGCCCTGGCCGGTTTGGCTCAGCGGTCGGAGCGTCGGCCTGCGGTCCTGAGAGACCCGGGTTCGGTTCCCGCTAAGGGCACGTACCTCGGTTGCAGTTTGTCCCCGGCCCTGGTTGGTCGTGAGGGTGGCAGCCACTCGATGTGTCCCTTCACATTGACGTTTCTCTCTCTCTCTCTTCCTCTCCCTCCCGCTCTATCTGAACAAAAAAAAAAAAAAAAAAAGGAAGACCTTTAAGCCCTGGCCGGTTTGGCTCAGCGGTTAGAGCGTCAGCCTGCGGTCCAGAGAGACCCGGGTTCGGTTCCCGCTAAGGGCATGTACCTTGGCTGCAGTTTGTCCCCGGTCCTGGTTGGGTCGTGTGGGTGGCGGCCACTCGATGTGTCCCTTTCACATCAATGTTTCTCTCTCTTCCTCTCTCTCCTTCCCGCTCTATCTGAGTGAAAAATGGAAAAAAGTCCTCGGGTGAGGATTAAAAAAAAAAAAAAAAAAAGATACACAAAGACTAAAAGTAAAGGGATGGAAAAAAAATTTCTTGCAAATGGAAATGAAAAAGACAGAGTAGCAATACTTATATCTGACAAAATAGACTTTAAAACCAAGGACATAGTAAGAGATAAAGAAGGACACTACATAATAATAAAAGAAACAATCCAACAAGAGGATATAAATATAACCCTTGTAAACATTTATGCATCCAATACAGGAGCACCAAAATATATAGAGCAAATCTTGATGGACATAAAGGGATAGACTGACAGTAAAACAATCATAGTAGGAAACTTTCACACCACGTTGATATCAATGGATAGATCTTCCAGACAGAAAATCAAGAAGACAACAGTTGCCTTAAATGACACATTAGATCAGATTGATTTAATTGGTATCTTCACAGCATTTCACCCCAAAGCAGCAAAATATACATTCAAGTGCACATGGAACATTTTCTAGGCTAGACCACATGTTAGGACACAAAATAAATTTCAATAAATTTTAGAAGACTGAAATCATATCAAGCATCTTCTCTGACTATAATGGTAAGAAACTAGAACTCAAGCACAAGAAAATACTGAAAGACACACAGACATGGAGGCTAAATAACATGCTACTAAACAATGACTGGGTTAACAGATCAAGGAATAAATCAAAAGATAACTGGAAACAAATGAAAATGAGAACACGACAACTCAAAATCTATGGAAAACAGCGAAAGCAGTGCTAAGAGGGAAATTCATAGCACCACAGGCCTACCTCAAGAAACAAGAAAAATCTCAAATAATCTAACCTTATAGTTAAAGGTACTAGAAAAAGATCAACTAACAAAGCTCAAAATGAGTGTGAGAAAAGAAATAATAAAGATCAGAGCAGAAATAAAAGAAATAAATACAAATGACCAATGAAACCAACCACTGGTTCTTTGAAAAAAAGATAAACAAGACGGACAAACCTTTAATCAGATTCATTAAGAAAAAAAGAGAGAGGACCCAAGTGAATAAAATCAGAAATAGAAGGAACAAGTAACAACCAACTACAATCTTCTAAAACTGAATCAGGAAGAAGCAGAGAATTTGAATAGTCAGATTACAACTAGTGAAATTAAAGCAGTAATCAAAAAACTCCCAGCCCTGGCCAGTTTCGCTCAGCGGTTAGAGCATTGGCCTGCGGTCCAGAGAGACCCAGGTTTGGTTCCCGCTAAGGGCACATACCTCGGTTGCAGTTTGTCCCAGGCCCTGGTTGGGTCGTGCGGGTGGCAGCCACTCAATATGTCCTTTTCACGTCAATGGTTCTCTCTCTCTCTCTTCCTCTCTCTCCCTACCACTCTATCTGAACAAAAAATGGAAAAATGTCAAGTAAGGATTAAAAAAAAAACTCCCAACAGCCCGGCCAGTGTGACTCAGTAGTTGAGTATCAACCCATGCACCAAGAGGTCCCAGTTTGATTCCCAGTCAGGGCATATGCCCAGGTTGTGGGCCCGATCCCCAGTGCGGGGCATGCAAGAGGCAGCCAATCAATGTTCTCTCTCATCGATGTGATGTTTATATCTGTCTCTCTCCCTCTCTCTTCCTCTCTCTAAAATCAATAAAGAAAAAAATATTTTAAAAATTAAAATAAAAATTAAAAAAAGACGAAAAAACTCCCAACAAACAAAAATCCTGGACCGAATGAATAGCTTCACAGGAGAATTTTACCAAAATTTCAAAGAAGGACTAACACCTATCTTTCTCAAACTATTCCAAAAAATTCAAGAGGAGAGAAGATTCTCAAGCTCATTTTACGAGGCCAGCATTATACTAATTCCAAAACCAGATAAAGATACTACAAAGAAATAAAAAATTATAGGCCAATATCCCTGATTGAACTTAGGTGCTAAAATCCTCAACACAATACTAGCAAACTGGATCCAGCAATACATTACAAAGATCATATACTATGATCAAGTGGGATTTATTCCTGGGATGCAGGTTTGGTACAGTATCTGCAAATCAATGACCATGATACACTACATAAACAAAATTAAAGATAAAAGTTACATGATCATATCAATAGATGCAGAAAAAGCATTTGACAAAATCCAGCACCAATTTATGATAAAGACTCTCAGCAAAGTGGGAATAGAGAGAATAGAAGGCCATATATAACAAACCCACAGCCAACATGATACTCAATGGGCAAAAACTAAGTGTTTCCCTTAATATCAGGAACAAGACAGGGATGTTCGCTTTTACCACTCCTATTCAACACAGTACTGGAAATCCTAGCCACAGCAATGAGACAAGAAGAAATAAAATGCGTCCAAATTGGAAAGGAAGAAATAAAACTGTCATTACTTGCAGATTACATGATATTGTATATAGAGAATCCTAAAGATTCCACCAAAAATCTGTTAGCCTCTTTTCCAGCTGGAACCATGGAGGGTGCAGAAGAGAAGAAGAAGAAGGTTCCTGCTATGCCAGAAACCCTTAAGAAAAAGCGAAGGAATTTTGCAGAGCTGAAGATCAAGCGCCCGAGAAAGAAGTTTGCCCCAAAGATGCTTCAAAAGGCAAGGAGGAAGGTCATCTACGAAAAAGCTAAGCACTATCACAAGGGATATAGGCAGATGTACAGAACTGATTCGAATGGCTAGGATGGCAAGAAAAGCTGGCAACTTCTATGTATCCGTGGAACCCAAATTGGCCTTTGTCATCAGGATCAAAGGTATCAGTGGTATGAGCCCAAAGGTCTGAAAGGTGCTGCAGCTTCTTCGCCTTTGTCAGATCTTCAGGGGCACCTTTGTTAAGCTCAACAAGACTTCAATAACATGCTGAGGACTGTGGAACCATATATTGCATGGGGGTACCCAAACTGAAGTGAGTAAATGAACTGATCTACAAGCATGGCTACAGCAAAATCAACCAAAAACGAGTTGCCCTGACAGATGACGACACATGGATTGCTCGATCTCTTGGTCAATATGGCATCCTCTGCATGGAGGATCTGATTCATGAGATCTATACTGTTGGAAAATGCTTCAAAGAAGCAAACAACTTCCTGTGGCCCTTCAAATTATTTTCTCCACGAGGTGGGATGAAAAAAAAAAAAAAAGACCACCCATGTAGTAGAAGGCAGAGATGCTGGTAACAGGGAAGACCAGATCAACAGCTTATTAGGAGAATGAACT